CCGATAAATTTTCTAAGAGAAGCAATTCTTCGATTCTTTCAAGGGAAACGTACGCGTCATATGTTGTCAGGAAACCATATATCACATTCCACATGCCATCAAATTTTAGAAAACCCATAAACGACAGCAGCATAAAAACATTAGCAGGTGTGAGGGTCTGGCCGCTGAGCACCATAGTAATTACTGACACCAGAGTAGCTAATGGCGTTGCACTGTACAACAAGGCATCAAGACTTGACTGAATGGCTGTCCTCTTCGAAATGACGCTGATTTCATTTCTGAAGATAAAAGATCATGGAAAGTTATGTGGGCATTCTCTCGAACCTACGCGTCCCCAGTCTACCCTCTAATAAAAAATGTTAATGAGGTGGGCGCGTGAGAAGTGTACCCTGCCTTCGAAAAATTTCCCATCGTCCTCTTCGTTATAGATGTGCTAGTTTCCTGTGACCCAAGCACCATGTATGAAAATCAAAGGCACCACGGAACACGAGTTTGGCTCATTAAAATATTCTACCAATTATGGTTTAACAATGATTCGTTGAAGGCGAAGTAAATACATTTGAAAATCCCCGAGAAGAACTCGAGGGAACTATTCCGAACTATTTAGTGAGCTTGAGGCGAATGATTGTTTTTAGTATAATTGCTCGGGAGCTTTGGAATTCTGTTGCAAATTCACTCTGTTATTAACACCATTCTGTAAATAAAGAAAACTTTGCGTGTTTTTGATACAATTGTTTTGATTACTTACATCAAGTTAAGGAGCCATTTTCCACTAGAAAACAATTCAATAACAGAAAAAAATTCCTTCCTCGGTACCTTTGAAAAAACGCGAATCAGTCATTTTGAAATGCAGTGCATATTTATAAGCTCAATGGAGCATGAATTTGAGCGAACCAATGTTCAAAAGGTCAAATGCCCGGAAGGTTGCCCGGGCTTGAGCTTCTAGTTGATCCGCGCTTAAATTAGCCAATCATAGCGTGCTTTCTAACTGTGAGATATGATAATTAAGTTTAAAGTAAGTCATACATATATTTACTGCAGCTTACACCAAATAGTTGTTGGAGCCAGTTTAAGACTAAACATGATCATTTACTTTACCTTCGCATATCTTTTGTTTCTTTCTGATATTCGTCCTCCCACGCCTGCGTTTTGACCGCGCGGATTCCGGAAACTACTTGATTCATTAGGGAGATTCGCTGATCGGACACTGTAGCTGTGCGCAAGCGCAGCTTGGCACTAGCATAGGACAAGACGGCAAAGTATGGAATGAGAATACACAGAAAGAACACACCCGTAGTAGCCTGCCAACCAATCAAAGTGTAGATGAGGAATATTGTTCCTGCATACGAAAGGACAGCAAAAGGTGTCAAGAAAAAAAACTTGACTGTCTCTTCTTCCATTCTCTTAACATCATTAGATATCAGGTCGAATAAGCGTCCTGCAGTGAATTCCAGTAACACCTGCTTGCTGAGAAGAAGCGTCTGAAAGAGAGTGAAGATTTGACATTAAAGAGCAAGTATGTTTCAAAACCTAGAAAGGCTTAGTCTCCTTCACAAAGATAACCATAACCACTTTTCGAGACGAGAATAGTCGAGCTTCTACCGAACTTTTTAAAGTATCTTCAATTGAGTCCTGAATGCGACAACTCAGTCGCAAATTTGAATCTCCCTCAGCAGGGCGGCCATTTACTAGTGAGGTATGAAAGTAACATTCTCCTTTTTTCATCTCAAGGGCAGGATCTACTTGAACAAGAAGGAGCTACACGAAAAGGCAATCTTGATTCAAATAATTATTTCTTGTGATAGCCATAGAGGAAACGTTTTGGGTCAGGCTAAGACCATGGAGAGATATCAGTACATTTCTTAAGAAAACTTTCGGAGGATAAGCTCACTCTTTGAAGGCTCTAAAGCCGTAAGAGTTTACAACTTTGAATATACTTTTACATGATTTAATAAAAGGTTTACAAGGCTCCACACTAACGGTGACCAACTAGCCACAGATTAGTAGAAATTCAGTTTTGGCTGGTGGTTTTCGATTTCCATTAGCCAGTTTGGCTAGTA